GTGCCCCCCTGCCCGAGGCCCCCCCCCCTCCGCGGTCCGTGTACTCTGGGGCAGCCCCGTTCGTAACTGCGGATCCGCGTAAGTCGGATCCGCGTAAGTCGGGGACTTCCTGTATTACGTTTAACTATCCAGCTATATCTGGAAAAGGTCTCATGTTTTGGGAATTTATGTAGTTCTAGAAATGCCTTGTCTACTTCCTCTTCCTATTTCGTGGTCTATAGTAGACCTCTAGCAGAGTGCAACTCCTTTTTTATTTTTTAACCAGACTTTCAATTGTTTTGGTTTTCAACTCTTTCTGGACCGCAGAACAAATGTATATATACTGCTATACCACTTCCTTTTTTTTATCCTACCTGTCTTTCCACATCAAGCTGTAGGCTTTTCTATCAGTATTCCAGTCACAAGATATCCCATCAAGTATCTAATGCCATTTAAGTCATTATTTAGCTTATTGGCTAATACTTGCAAGTCTTCTTGTTTATTTCACATACTCTTTGCAGTTTTGTTGAGTGATATAATGTGTTCAGCAGATTCTTCCAATGATTTCACTCCTGTTCCTATAACCTCCTTCTCCCTAAAATATATAGTCTTCTGTCCAATCACCTTTTTACTGCATATCTATGGACTTTTCTCACCTACTCTCTTTAAATCTAATGTAAAACCTTTCTCACTGGACTGACAAGCTGTTGTGCAAAGATACTTTTCTCTTCTTGGGTAAGTGAACCCATTTCTTCCAAGCAGAGCTTCTTCACAGAACATCCTCCCATGACTGAAGAAGTCCAAGCCGCCTTGCAACACCATATGTGCAGCCATGCATTAATCTTCAGCTTGCATGTGTTCCTGTCTAAGCTCTTTCCTTAATCGGGAGGATGTTCAAGGACACACCCTGTGCCTCTGACTCCTTTATCCTACTCCTAGAGCTCTGTAGTCACTGCTCAGTGTCAGACGTCATAGTACTATTAGTGCCCATCTTAGTGGTCAGAGGGTCGGCTGAGCCTCAGCAACTTTTCTGTGATGTCTCAGATATGGGCTGCAGGCAGTCAGAAGACTTCTTGGGATATCATGTCAAGTCAGCAGATTTATTCTTCTGACTCCCTCTGAAGAGAGTCCACTAGTACCATACACCACTTCCTTTAAATGCTGAGCCTGCTAGCTTCAGGAGCAGGTGGCTGCTCCTCATCCTGTTGCCACTACGGTTTACATTTCTGCATCTTATTGGAAGGGGGACACTTTTTGGGGGTGGGGTCAAACACTGTCTTCCGCCCCAGATGGTCAGCAGTCTTCTCCCCAAGAGTACCCAGGTCTCTTGGTCCTTCTCAGGGGATTTTTGTTTTCTCCTTCAAGCTATACCAAATCTATTTTAGGAGTCCGTTTGGATTGTGAAAAGTGCTTTGTAGTTTAGAGCTGAATCAAAGCCACCATGGTGCTCTCAGCTACTGAGTCCTCATGAAATAAGTCACCATGCTGCCTATTCTATCCAAAACTCCATTTTTAAAAAAACCCTAGACTTCAGGAATATGGCTAACTAGGCCACAACTTTGTTACATATCTGTGAACTATCCAACAATAACTCATCCCTTACAAGCTTCAGTGGGTAGCCGAGTTAGTCTGTATAGGATAAACTTAAAAAACAACAAATGGTCTGGTAGCGCTTTATAGACTAACAAAACCTGTAGATGGTATCATGAGCTTTTGTGGGCACAGCCCACTTCTTCATAACTCCGGTCATCTGAAGAAGTGGGCTGTGCCTATGAAAGCTCATGATGCCATCTACATGTTTTGTTAGTCTATAAAGTGCTATCAGACCATTTGTTGTTTAAGTTCATCCTTACAAGTTATCTTTCCCTTGTAATTCATACCACATGGCAGAAGGCTGCTGTCATCCCCGTCTCGCCCCCTCCCCACCCAGCTGACTTAGTGCCATACTGTTGATGGGATTCAACTGCCCTCAGGGTCCCATCAACAGTACAAGGGTCAAGAGAGGAGAGAGAGATTTGTTTCCTTGCTGTACCAGACAACAGGAGCTCCAGCATTCTTCTAATCTGTTAGAGATTCTGCTATTGAGTGGCTATCTGCACAGGGAACCTGGTATTTATCCACATTTCCTCACTGCCAAACTGACCTGGGCAAAATTACTTCACCAGTCCTGGAAATATGACTATCATGATGCTCTCAGCAAGGTCTAAAATACCCGGGTTTACTCTAACCCTCATGAGTGGGGAGCATTCTTTCCTGGCATGGAATGCTAGCCCTGAGCAGGCAAAAGGATATAAATCCTCTTGGATGTACAAGAACCAATATATTTAGGTTTCATCCTTCAGGAACAGAACTTTCTTTAAGCCCAGTAGGAGAAGTGGAATTCCCTTGTTGGCCCAAACAAAGCCACCTAATTTCTAAGCTTAGAAAGGCCTGCTGTATTTGGGCCTATGCCTATAGGTTTATTGGGTTCAGGGTGATGTCCTTAGTCGTTGCAGTCTTATCATATCATGGCAATTCAGTTAATATTATGAAAGGGGTTTGTTGTTGTTTCTTTTTAATGTCTATGATAGAGATTCACCATACTGTAGTCCATTTTCTGTGCCATACAAGGCAGTCTGCATCATAAAAATCACCATTGTCGGCTATCTAGGGAATAGCAAGCTAATGGATAACTTTAAAAAATGTTAGCAATAAATGCACTAAGCTTTGATTTTTGTGAGGCAAGATTTAAAGTGGACAGGGCGATTTGTGTGGGGGGTTGTGGTTTAGAGGTAGCTTAGTAATGGAAGTGAGATTCCAAAGCTTTACCACTTGTCACTAGTGAATGCACTGCTGTCTTTGTGAGATTAAGTCTTAAAACTGACTTTTAAGGCAGGTCAAATGTACTAACTTCTGTAATCCACAAAAACACTTGTCACTTTTTTTTTTTTTTTTCAGAGCAAGAAACAACATATTCCTTATCGTAACAGCAAGCTGACTCGTTTATTGAAAGATTCTCTTGGAGGGAATTGTCGGACTATAATGATAGCTGCTGTTAGTCCTTCTTCAATGTTCTATGATGACACTTACAACACTCTTAAGTATGCAAACCGAGCAAAAGATATTAAATCTTCTGTAAGTAAATTTATACAACTTATTTTGTAAGTAGTGGAGTGTACAAAATTAGAGGCACAGTATTCAAATGATGCAGTTATTTGTGTCTAGAGCAATATACAATTTACTTGGCTTTTGCATCAGAATTCTGTTGAATCATCTAGTCTAATATCCTTCATTATAATTTTCATTTCTTAAATGTTCAGATTAGTTACATTAGAAACAAAATGTCATGTATTTAAGGTAAATGCCAAAGTTAATTCTAAAGACTTCAAACTTTATTTCTCCCATTGATGCCATAAATCTCAATGCACTTTACAATGGTAGTTAAGTATCATTATCCCCAATTTTCTGTATATAAGAACGATATGTCCTTTGTCATGCAGACCATGTCTGTAACCACTGGCAGACCTACATATATAACCATGATCTTCTGTCTTTCAATCTGATCTTACAGTGTACTTTTGTCTCTTCTTGTAATACAGCTCAAATGTAATTAGTAATATTTGTATCTAATACAGTTACTGTGTATGATGTATAAATTTTATTAATTTTTTTTCTTTTCCTTAACAGTTGAAAAGCAATGTTGTTAGCTTGGACAGTCATATAAGTCAATATGTTAAGATTTGCAATGAACAAAAGAAAGAGGTATGTTAGTCTTGATCACTATTATTAGTATAAACAGAAAAGTGTATATAGTGAGTTAAAGTATGAGGTAAGATTTATCTGTAGTTTTCCTAAGGAGCAAAAGTTTCCCTGGTCTATTCAGGTGGATACCCCTAGCTGTTAAATTTTAAAATGCCTCTTTCAAGAGGATGGTAAAATAGGATATTTGAGGCAAGCTTTGTATTTCAATCGTATTGTCCTTGTTTTTCAGATCATAATGCTGAAAGAGAAACTGAGAGCATATGAAGAAGAAAAAGCAGCCATTTCAGAAAATTGTGGTACAAATGTTCTTTCAAACCAGCAGCAAGCAGGTATACAAAGGTAAAATCATATTAAGGTTTCATTTTGACAAAATTAGGTTTACAGGATTTTACCATAACTTTTTAAAATCGGTTCTATACTTGCTAAAAATCCTGGTTTCAGTTTGGTTTTATGTTACTCTCTCTAAAGTAGATGTGACATTATATACACTATTGTTTTACTTTGCTTGTTGAATTTAAAATAAAAATCTCGGCAGATTTTCTAACTAGTCTCTCTTGACTTTACTAGAGAACTTTAACTTACTTAATGGCAGGAAAAAAATCAGTTGGCAACCTTAATGAACTTTTTTTTTTAACTTCCTATTCAATGATAAACTTTTAGCTAGGAAGTTTCAGTATGGCCATATGAGTTTTATAACATTATATGTTAAAGGTCCATTTAGAATATTCTGATTTCAATAATACTACTGTAAAAGAATATTTTGGTTTTTCTGTTTTAAAACAAGTTTGTGTTAGACTGGAGTTAGTGCTTCAGCAAAGGCAAGTAGCATCAGGGTATAATTTTAATTATATTGAGCTTTCCAGTTTAAAGGTTCAGAAACCATGCAACTATACAGCTGAAAAAAAGGAGGCAGTTGGATCTTTTAATAAACGTGTAAAATGGAGATACTTGATTGAGACATGTATAAATTAAGAAATGCTTGTAAAGAATGTGAAAGATGAAAAACATTCAGATAACTTGAGTCTGAGAAGATTTAAAGAAAAAAATCGTGACCACTGATATGTCTCCTTTTTAAAAAGAGAACACAGAAGAATTAAGCCTTTGATGCTTTAACTATCTAGCTAAATTAATGGGTAAAACACTCTGCGGGTTCTCTGGAAATCAAGGTGCAGTGCCCTCTCAGTTCATGTACATTGTCATTAAGACCAAAAAAGATGAAGTTCTGAGATTTATAGATATTTACCTATTGAAACACCAGTTTGACAAAAGTGTGGCTATTTACTCTGGTTAGCAGTGTTTGTTTACCACTGAGCCTTACAAAAATCTGAATTTTACCATTGAGCATTTATTGTAAAATGTTTATCTTCTATGTATTTTTAACAACTTATACAGTTTGTGTCATCTGTGCATTATGCATGTTGGAGGTACTGAAGTTCAATACATTTTAAGGTAATTTGTCATTTTAACTACTAATATATGTTGCGCTAGATTCTGTTGTACTGTTAAAGGTGGGGATTTATCTGCACACTAACACACAATTCTTTTCCTAGGCAAGGATTCATGTAATGGAATGGAATTCTTCCCTAATATTGAAAAACAACTATATTAGGGCAATCTCACAATATACTTAGAATGGATAAAAGTAGACCCCTTGAATCTACATGTTTTAATTATAGTGCTTAATTACGGTGTGTATAGTGAAACTAAACTTCACAAAAGACAGTTTCACTAGTTCTGTAAGGTTTGTTTTCCCTATGTTTAGGTGAGT